TATAGATTTTTGGATTCTGATCTAGATCCCCTGTATACTTCTTGGATCTGGGTGGATTCTGACCCGATCCGAAAAATTCTCAGTCCCATATGTAGCGTTTTAAATGATATTTTGGGCCAAAAAGCGAAAGTACGGTGAATTATATTAAAAGGAAAAAGTTTATATAGAGTCGAGGCTCTCAACACTCAAATTAGAGCCAACCTCAAAAATTTCACTAAAAGAGGTCTTTTTGATGCCCAAATATCCTCAAATTGATCCTTCTCAACATCAAGATGCATCTTGTAACACGTTTTTTTACCATCAATTTTTAAGACTTGCATGTTTTTACAGATCTGCTCAATTTCCACTATTTTTTAAACTTTAAAGTTCATAATTAAAGATGAAAATATATTTTAAGGCTATCACTAAGATTTTCAGTATTGAAACCATATTTCTCGATACTATTTGAAGGTGCACTTTACTTTGATTATTTAGAGCCTCAGCTCTGTACAAACCGCACCCAAAAGAAAAAGAAAAAAAAATACTATTGCTTTCTCCTCCTATAAAGAATCGCTTAAACACGGGGAACATGGATTTCATGTTGGGTCTACCGTGGATTCAATGATGTAATAATCCGATCTTATGTTTTGTACTTTTTTCTTTTCTTTTCTTTTTTTCTATTGTGGGGGATTTTATTACATGCAAGAAGACAACGGATGCTTCCTATCTTGATGACTTGCTCTTCAAGGATCCATGCCAATTACATGAAGTTGCAAAGTCCATCGACGTCAAATTTATTAGTTACCTTTGGCATACGCTAATGTTCAAGTTATCACCCCTTTTGGAATGATCACCTCGGGCCGAATACTCGGCCTTGGCCCGAGTTGAGTAACTTGTTTAGAGTTGGGCCGAGTTTTGGCAAGGTCAAAAAGTACTAAAAGAATTAAAAAATATGTACAAAAAAAGTGAAAAAATATGTTTCAAGTAAAATTAAACAAAATATATTTAAATGGGTTTAAAAAAGTAGGGAAAAATAAAACTTGGAATAATCAATTTGGGACCAAAGGTATTATAGAAATAATTTAAAAAGAAAGAAAAATATAAAAATAATTATTCATGACAATAAAACTTTCCAATCATTGCTAAAATGATAGAAAATATATAAAAACATATTAGAAAGAATTTTTTATTTTTTTGGATCTTTATAATTTTTAAATTTTTTTGAATTTTTTTTTAAGATCCTCGAGTTAGACAACCAACTTGGAGATACTCTAAGCTTGCTAGGGTGGCGAGCCTGAGTTACTCAAGTGAGTCCGAGCTCACTCGCACGAGTAATCACACAATAGTGTTTGCTACCTACAAACAAAGGGTTAGACAGTGGTCA